CCTTTGGGTCAGCTAGCTTCGAGCAAGGATAGCATACGGCTCTGTCTGTCCGTCCGCAAAATGAAGTGAGTGATAAGGCAGCTAATGGAATAAACAAACCGCTAATCTGGTAGCTCGCAGGATTTGAGCTATCAATGTTTTGCAATGGATATTGTGATAACACTCCAACGGCTATATAAACACCTGCTTAGCACACTTCCGTTCATTCCACATGGTGCTGCAGTGGCAGCTGGAGAGCAGTGGAGGGAAGGATAAGGGAAGGAGGAGGAACGCAAAGCTTACGGGGAGGGAAGTTCCAGCGTCGCCGGCGGATCCATCTGTTGACAAATATACCATGAATCAAGGCTACGGTGAAGTGGTGTCCCAATGGTGTGATCGGTAGTCCAACTACCCGGAAAGTAAAAGGCGCAAGTTCGATTCCCGCCTGAGGCGAAGACTTTTATCCATGACCCAGCACTCTAGTGAGAAAAATTCATAATTCATTATTGTTCGCGTTAGTCTACATGTGTAAAAACTGGGAACAATGTGAGGCTCCAAAATGTCTATTGCGGCACTTGTGTGCTTTTCCCATGAAACTTTTGGAAAATGTTATAAATGTTTATCAGCTTGCTTTGGCGAACTCACGATGCCTTGCACCTTTTTCACACCGCCCTAGTGGTCTTTGGAGCGAAAACACTAAATTTCTCACAAAATTTCCTAATGACCGAGAGCACTGCCCAAAAAGAAGCCATTTAGGCATTTTACAAGGAAAAGATCAAATCTCTGGAATGGGCGCAATTATGCCCTTTTCGATATTATACATGCCCGTGAAATTAGCCTCGTTTGGAATGAAACTATTTCCTTAAGATCAAACAAAAGACTGTTCAGGTTGAAAGGAGTCTAGGACGACTTTGTAATGAGCGAAAGTGCTCGAGCAGATTCAAGCAAGGTGGAGGAAAACTTTGAAATACGAGCCGTTCCCTTCCCTCCACCCACCCCATCCCACTTCCCACCCTCAAGAGTAACGAAAACTGTAATGAACAACTCTACTTTGCATGCAGATGGACCCCTTTCCCTCCCACAGGATCTAACACAACCACACCTCCTCCTCGTTGAAGATCCCTCAACGCATGCTTGACCCTGTGTTCGAGGTTGGCGGCACTGCTAGGATAGACAGTCTGTATTTTGGCACTGTTATGAACCTGCATTTGCACAGTTGGGATTCTCTTTTCAAAGTACACTGCATATGAGATGATTATCTACCCGAACAGTTTGACTGTTGACCCCGCTTCACGATGTGGAAGTGACTGACATACTTCAAAAAAAAAACACCCCAATCGAAGTAGAGCATTGTTCCGCTCGAAGGGTTCCACAATAAAGATGAAATTTGATTTGATCCCGTTTTATGCTGAAGCAGCTCTATTTGACCGTTCAGATAATGTAGCTTTTCTGTTGCCATTTTTGGGTTCGTTGACAAGGTATGATCGGAAATTCTCGGAGCGATTCATCAAAGGAGCGAAACCAACCGTGGCGAATAGTCCGCTGACGAGGTCCAGTGCTGTAGAGCCTTGTGCAAAAGAACCAATGTTCAGGTCACCCGCATCCTAAAGGAAAACGATTATTCATTCCCAGGCATGACCTCCTCGTTCGAGCATTACCGTCGCTCGAAAACCATAGTTTACAAAACGGCCCAAGAACTTTGGGTCAGCTAGCTTCGAGCAAGGATAGCATACGGCTCTGTCTGTCCGTCCGCAAAATGAAGTGAGTGATAAGGCAGCTCATGGAATAAACAAACCGCTAATCTGGTAGCTCGCAGGATTTGAGATATCAATGTTTTGTAATGGCATATTGTGATAACACTCTCAGGGCTATATAAACACCTGCTTAGCACACTTCCGTTCATTCCACATGGTGCTGCAGTGGCAGCTGGAGAGCAGTGGAGGGAGGATAAGGGAAGGAGAAGGAACGCAAAGCTCACGGGGAGGGAAGTTCCAGCTGTCGCCGGCGGATCCATCTGTTGACAAATATACCATGAATCAAGGCTACGGTGAAGTGGTGT